CCTCACATCCAATGCTTATAGATAACCCATAAACTTCCGTTGCCTGTAGATTCAGAATGCAAAACAAATGGGGGTCAAGAAAGACAGAGTCTAGTGAAATTTCACGAGCAAAATCCCATTTTCTGGGCAAAATAGTGAAAGAAAAAGCATGAACAATCCCATTACAGAACAGAAGTAAAATTTCCCAGCACCAAAAACCCAGAAAGAAAACATTACAACTGATTAACGTTGAAAGGAGAAGAAGAACAGAGAAAGTGAAAATTTGAAACCAGGCGAGAGTACAGACAGTAGCTTCAGCATGTAGCGCCTCTTGGTGTGAAGACGGAATCAAAAGGGGTCGGCAGAGACGATGGAAGCTTCCCGGCTCGGTCCGATTCGACGGTTTTGAATTGCACGGCCCTAGCTTTCAGGCAACATGAGTGTATCGGTTCAGCATCGGTTGAAAACCCTTACATGTTGAGATTTTATTTAGTACAACATATAGATATCGAGATTCGAACATTCAAATGGTTGGATACATATGTTTTAATCCGCTCAGTTAAACTACACTCTGATTGGGTATTGGAATTTCATTCAACGAATGAAATTGAAATTGATTTGATTGAGTTTACTAATTGTTTATATATAGAATATATATTACCCTCCTATAATGATTTTATAATAGTTTTCATGAGTTTTTTTTTCAAATCCAGGGGAATACCTTCTAATTTGTCTTAATTTAAAAAATTTTAAATTTAAAATTTTTGTGTAACTTTCTTCCATATAAATTTTTTTCTATTCCATGTTGGAATTTATATATCGATCTGACTTTTGAAATATTAATTTGAAATAATTTTTTGGTGGAGAATTAATCAATCGAAAGTGAAATAAAGAAATTGAAGAAGAGGAAGGTGGTGTATCCATTAGCATTGGTGGAACGAAGGTGAAGGTGTAGGAGGGGAGATGACAGAACCAAAAATCTCGATGTCTTCCTAAATCTTTAACCCATAACCCTAAACCAAAACAATTTCAACTCTTGTTGAGAACCGGACCGGTCCAAAAGAGGGTTTAAACGGTTTTGTTCTCTTCAAGGAAGCAGGGTTTAAGAAATTTTTCTCTTTTTGGCCCGATACCAATTTACTTATGGAAATGGAATGTTATTTTTGCTCACTTAAAAATTTTCTAAAAGTGGAATATGAATCAAATATAAGAAAATAACTAGACTAACTTTTATTTTTATTCTTCTCAAAACACAAAAAAAAAATTCCTTTTTATTTCTAACAGTGCTAATATTATTTTTAATTGAAACAATAATAGAATTTATTTTATTACTATTTTATTGATAATAAATATTTTTTATTTTAATTATTTATTAATATTAATAACTATTTAAAATAAAATTTCATGACCACGAAATGCTAATATAATTTTTATTAGAAGAATTGTGGTTGAGATAAAAGCATTGTTAATTTGTTTGATATAATATTTAATAATAACGAATGGTATGTTCATAATTTTTGTATGTTAAAAGTGAGTTTAGCTAGCGGTACTATTATAAAAAATTATTAACAATATATGTATAATTAAACAAACAAAGAGTAAAGTTGTAAAATAATTAATTAAATAGTCATGGGTCTAACTAATAGATAAAGAGAGCAACAATTATTAAATAATGATTAAAAATGTGAATGAAATTGATGAAGTGGCCGGAAATGAACGAGATTATCGCAGTGATTTAAAGTTTGAGATGAGTATTTGATTTCACACATTCAAACAAGAATGAAAATTAATTTTCATCTCTGAGGTAAACGGACCTTAGTCAAGTTTGAGGAAATTTCTTATGCGTGTATAATTTGTTCCAATATATATAATATTGGTTAAATTACAAGTTTAGTCATTGAACTTTCAAATCTGTATCTAATAGGTTTCTTAACTTAAATAAATAAATAAAAATTTCCTTTAGGTATAGTTTTGAATTATGTGCATAATAAGTGTCCTCATATTTAAAAGTGTCTCGTAGGTCATTAAATTTTTTATTTTGTATCTCATAGGTCTCTACCATATTTGAAATTTTTTTAAATTATGGATTTATTGGACATAAAATTTAATTTGCATCGGATAGAATCTAAAATTTTTCAATTTTGTGTATAATAAATTTATGATTTTTAAAGAATGTCAATTAGGTCCAATGATCTATTAGATATAATATTGAAAGTTTGAATCTATTAGACGCAAAATTGAAAGTTTAAAATATAGTTTGGTAACGTTCTCGTTTGTTTCCTGTTTCTTGTTTCAGTTTTTAATTTTTTGAGAAACTGACGTGTTTGGTAATCCATCTGGTTTCTTGTTTCTAAAATTTGGGAACGTTTCTTAAAAAAGGGACCAAGTTTTGTTCATTTCCATTTTTTTTTATTTGTTGTGTACAAGGCCGTCTTTATATAAATATTATATATTATGCTTTTGAAACTAAAATGTAGTTTTGTCAAAGTGAGCATAGCTCATCGGTAATTGACATATATCTTCAACAAAGAAGTGGTAAATTCGATCATCCACCCACTTGTTGTACTATAAAAAAAATGTAGTTTTAGTTTGTTGGCATAAGCTTGTCCTTGTGTTACATCTATATAGTTTGAAATTGTATTCTTTATCTAATTATTACACTTTCTTTAAAATATATATTTTTTCTTTTCTTAATTAAAAATATTTTTAATTTTTATTCTTTCTTTAGAGCTAATAATTTATACTTTTATATCAAATAAGTTTATATTGTAAATTATATTTTTTTAATGAATTATATTATTCAACCATATATTAAATCTTTTTATATTACATCTACTCATTTTAATTTCAACTAAAAATAAAAATAAACCAACCTAAGTTAAATCATATATCTTTGGWCGAGTGGTTGTGGGTTTGAATCTTCAACTCCACAAGTTGTTGTACTAAAAAGCTAAAAATAAAAATAAGAAACAAGAAACACTTATCAAATATATTTTTGTTTCTATTTTTTTTTTCAAGAAATAAGAAATAGAAATGAGAGCACAATTGGATCATTGCCTTTTTATTTGGGGATCACAAATCCAGAACCGAATATTTTGGATACATTTGAAGATGTTGAATATAAAAGAAGCACTTATTGAGGTTTCCTCGGTGGTAAATATTGTTGGAACATAAGAGAACTAAATGGAAAAAATTGTTGTATCGTGGATGAAGCCACTACCCTGAAAGCAATTACGGCACGATCATGATACTATATCGTATGCTTGTCGATTGCTCCCCAAGGTTAACACAACTTCGAAATCAGGCGTGCACTTGCCGGGGTTGAATGGAATCGATAAACGTGCTCAGAAAAGTTTTCTTACTCCGTTCTAAAACAAAAATAAGTTTTAATTTATATAGAAATGTTATTCTTTGTGTTTTAAAAAATAGTAAAATTAAAAATAGTTAGAAGTCTAAGTCTTTTAAGGACAAATTAATCATTCCCAATAATTATTGGGTCATTGCCTATAATAATTTAACACGGCTCAACAACAATCTCTTGGATTGCATTTTTCTTTCCTTTTATTTGTATATTTTCTATTATTGCCTTTGATTTTTAATTTACTATTTTAGCATTAAGTAAATGTCGTGGATCTTAATTGAACTTAGTTATTATTTCTATACTTTATTTTAAAATATAAAAATAGCAGTTTGTATTGGATCAAAGACTTTTTTAGAAGCCAAAGCGAGTATAGCTCATGGCAATTGGCATATACCTCAAATTATGAGGTTATGAGTTCGATCCCCACCCCCACATGTTATATTTAAAAATAAAAATAAATTTTTTTAAATAATATAGAAAATATTCATCAAATTCATTGTATATTGATTTTTCTAGTCTATTTTTTAACCTCATATTCAAAACCTTGGCATAGACCAAACTTATTTCAGTTTAGTACTTGTGCAATGTTCGTCTCCTTTTTGTCAAATGAATTAAATGGTTTAAAATTGATGATAGTCTGTCCACTACATAAACAAATAAGAGAAATCATTTTACATATATATGAGAATGATAACATAATTGCAATATTAATCAATTAGCACTAATCATATTCGCTACTAAAATAAATGATTTGCTAAACATAAATGTCAGTCTCTAATATTTGAGTCGAGATAAATAACAAAAGATATATCATTATAAGTCACTTTAAAATATAAAAATTCTACAGCTATCATTACGAAAAAAAAACTCCACAATTGTCATTACAAAAATACTCCTTTCCAAAATCCTAGCAGCATAACAAAATAAACTAGTTTCTCACACTTCCACGTCTATCATTATAAAGATTTATAAGTAGTTTAATATAAGTTAAAAGTCATACTCCCTTCTAACTTTTATAGGCAACTTTGACCGCTTATTCGCTTGAACTGTTTCAGATGATGCAACTTTGACCGCTTATTCGCTTGAACTGTTTCAGATGATGAACTTCCTTGCAAAGTCGTTAAGAAGTAAGAAAAAAATCAAATTTACAACTATGGTATTAGAGAAACAAAATTTAAGTTAATAGTTATTTGAATTACTAACTTTTAGAAGTTCTTCTTTATCAACTAGCCCTTTCCAACTCCTTTT